CTTGAGCCACAGGCGCCGAACCAATAATTTGTTTTTCTAATGTTATACCAACCTTGCATTCCTGGGATAAAACCTACTTGGGGTTCATGCCCGTAATTTCAGCATTCTGCAAGGTCAAGACAGGAGGATCCCTTGCACTCAAAAGTTCAAGACCAGCCTGAGTGAGAGTGAGACTCCATCTCTACTAAAACCAGAAAGATTTAGCTGGCACAGTGGCAGGCACCTGTAGTCCCAGCTACTTGGGAGGCTGAGACCAGACTGGTTGAGCCCAGGAGTTTGAGGCTGCTGTGAGCTGTGATGATGTCATAGCACTCTAGCATGAAGGATAGAGGGAGACCCTGTCTCAGGGAAAATGACAAAAAAACCTACTAGGTAGCATACATAGCTCAGTGGGTAGGGAGCTGGCCACATGGCCACATACACTGAGGCTGGCAGTTCGAACCTGGCCTGGGCCTACTAGATGACAATGACAACTACAACATAAAATAGCCAGGCATTGTGGTGGGTGCCTGTAGTCCCAGCTACTTGAGAGGCTGAGGCAAAAGAACTGCTTAACCCCAAGAGTTTGAGGTTGCTATGAGCTATGATGCCATGACACTCTACCCAAGGCAAATAGTGAGACTCTGTCTCAAAAAAAAAAACCTAGTTGGGCAAGGTGTATTATTCTTTTTACATGTATTTTTTTTTCTTTTTTTTTGCAGTTTTTGGCTGGGGCTGGGTTTAAACCCACCACCTCTGGCATATGAGGCTGGTGCCCTACTCCTTTGAGCCACAGGTGCCGCCCCTTTTTACGTGTATTTTTATATATTGTTTATAATAATTTAGACATACTGGATTTTTTTGGAGACAGAGCCTCAAGCTATCCTTCTGGGTAGAGTGCCATGGCATCACAGCTCACAGCAACCTCCAACTGCTGGGCTCAAGTGAGTCTCCTGCCTCAGCCTCCCAAGTAGATGGGACCACAGGCACCCACCACACCGCGTGGCTATTTTTTGGTTGCAGCCATCATTGTTACTTGGTGGGCCCGGGCTGGATTTGAACCCGCCACCTTAGGTGTATGTGGCTGGCGCCATAGCCACTTGAGCCACAGGTGCCGAGTCTAAATAAAATGTATTATTAAAATTACTTTTACCTTTTTACTTTTTCCTAGTATGCTACCTGGAGAAATTTAAATCATGCATGTGGCTTGTACTGTTCCTTTAGGACAGAAACTTTACTCTTATGATACAAGAATAAATCTGGTGCGGGTGAGGCAGCCCAGGCCCTGACCCCAGTGTGAAGACTGCTACTGTCACAAGTGGCCACGAACTTAAGAGACTTCAGATAATACACAGCTATCTTCTTGCAGCTCCACAGGGCCAACCTCAGAAGCCAGCAGCCTGCCTGCCTTCTGTTTCCTCTCTGTCGAGCTCTCAAGGCTGCCGGTGTTCCTTGGCTCTGGCCTTCCCTCCGTCTTTAGACCTCATCATTCCAGCCCCTGCTCTCTGCAGCCACCTCTTCTTCTCAGACTGGCCTTTCTCCCTGCCCATTACAGAGACTCTTGTGATTATATTGGGCCCACCCAAATAATGCAGGGTAATCCCCCATCTCAGGGCCCTTAACATAATCCCATATGCAGGACATGGACCTCTTGGTGGGGGGAGGAGTTGTATTTATTCTCCTACAGGGAGGTTAGAGTTAGAATCCAACTCTGTCACTTCCCAGCTGTGTGGGATTAGGTGGGCCCATCTCTACTTGGAATCTGTTTTCTGTTGTGTAGGAAGAACACTGACCCCAGCACACACACATGCAGCCCTGTTCTCAAGGTTTGGGTGAAGTAATGTGTGTAGAAAGACCTGATGGGCTTTTGGATTTTATACTTCTTTGGATTTTGGTTATGACTTAGAGAAAGCAAAGCAAAGAGAAATTGGTTTGTTTTCCTTTGTATTAGCAGATCTTAGAAAATTCTAGGGTGAAGGTAAATTCAAAACCAGAATTCAGCTATTTGGGTTCACCTTCCTTTATTAATGAATTACATTATTTTCTTCATGCATTTTTGTTTATCTGGTCTTAGCTAGAGGTCATTTTAAGAAATTATTAAATTTCGTGTAATAAATATTTGCTGAGCAACTCTACTGTGCCCAGCACTGGGAAACTGGGGAGACCATAGTGGATGGATTGGGCATGGCCTTGTCCTCGGGAAGTTACACTACAGAACACAGACAGAACACTGGGATGCATCACAGACTTGGCAAGGTCCTAGGGGAAACCCTCCTGGCAAAAACACATGATAACCCTGGGCCAAAGGCCAGTGACATGATGATGGGATTGTTGCTAGGGAAGGAAAGGACACTCTGAAGGACAGGAATGAGAGCATGTGGCACCCTGAGGGCCCTAAAATAGTGTGGCTGGAGCTTAAAGTGCAAGGAGGGACTGACTAGAGACCCAGAGGGCTATAGCACCAAGAGGAAAGAGAGATAAAACCAAGTTGGATTCTGGTCAGCAAAATCTCTCATGTGTCTCTGGTTCTCTGGAACCTTTCCAAGAAGAACGTTTTAAAGACTTTGACTAGCTGGGTGTGGTAGCTAACACCTATAATCCCAGCATTCTGGGATGCCAAGGCAGCAGGATTACTTCAGCCCAGGATCACATCACTGCACTCTAAGCAAGACTCTGTCTTTAAAAAAATAATGAATGAAGGAATGGATGGATGAATAAATAAAACTCAAGTAGAAAACAGGAATTGGCCCAGGCCCAGTGGCTTACACCCACAATCTAGCACTCTGGAAGGCTAAGGTGGGAGGATTGCTTGTAGTCGGAAATTCAAGACTAGTCTAAGCCAAGAGCAAGGCCCCCCATCTCTACAATAAATAGAAAAATTATCTGGGCATGGCAGGACACACCTATATTCTCAGCTGCTCAGGAGGCTGAAATAGGAGGGTCAGCTGCTTGAGGAGTTGGAGGCCACAGGGAGCCATGATGATGTCGCTGCTGTCTAGCCTGAGCAACAGAGTGAGACCTTGTCTTCAAAAATAAAACAAAACAGGCTCAGCGCCTATAGCTCAACCGGCTAAGGCGCCAGCCACGTACACCTAAGGTGGTGGGTTCGAATCCCCAGCCTGGACCCGCCAAACAACAATGATGGCTGCAACCAAAAAATAGCCGGGCGTTGTGGCGGGCGCCTGTGGTCCCAGCTACTTGGGAGGCGGAGGCAGGAGACTCTCTTGAGCCCAGGAGTTGGAGGTTGCTGTGAGCTGTAATGCCATGGCACTCTGCCCAGGGGGACAGCTTGAGGCTCTGTCTCAAAAAATAAAAAATAAAACAAAACAGACTTTACCCTTTTAAGCCAATTGCCGAAAGGTACCTACTGGGAGGCCAGGGTGGCCCTGACATGGGGTCTTAACCACGGTGGGGCCAAACTCAAGTCAGATTAGAGTTGCTGAGACTCCAAAGTGAGGGGACAAAGTGAGTTTTATCACTTTCAGTTAAGGGGAATTTCCTCATATGTGGCACTGAGGATTTCCTACATTCATGTGGAGCGTATCTACTTGAGCTGAAATGGAATTTGTGACCATTTAACGATTTCCTGCCAAATGATCTTTGTTTCTCTATATGTATTACACACACCCCCACCTCCAGCTGCTAAAGTTCTGCTGAAGCCTCACGTGTGGTCAAGTGAATGAGCTATACTCCCGTTGGTCCCCTCCTCCCACCTCAGAAATTGCTCTGATACATCAAGGGTGAAAAGCTAGCTTTAGCTTAAGTTCCATAGAAGTTCATAGAATAATGTACCTTTTTTTTTTTTTTTTTTAATTGAGAGAGAGCCTCAAGCTTTTGTCCTGGGTAGAGTGTCATGGCATCACAGCTCACAGCAACGTCCAACTTGGCTCAAGCAACTCTCCTGCCTCTGCCTCCCAAGTAGCTAGGACTACAGGCACCCGCCACAACGCCCCGCTATTTTTTGGTTGGCAGCCGTCATTGTTGTTTGGCGGGCCGGACTGGATTCGAACCCGCCAGCTCAGGTGTATATGGCTGGCGCCTTAGCCACTTGAGCCACAGGTGCCGAGCTGAATAACGTACCTTTTGACACCTACCAAGTATAGAAGTAGGGTGAGAGAAGAACTCTCTTACTGGGACATCCAGGGCTAAGAGCAGTATCCTCAGGGCCTCTTTGGAGGCAAAGCAGCGTTTCCCCAACAGATTGTCCATCGCTTCTCTCATAAGTCCCTTACATTTGACAGGATCTGCCTTCTTCATATTCTAGGCTATTCAGCTTGACCCTGAAGAAACTTATCATGCTGAAAGAAATGGACAAAGATCTCAACTCGGTGGTCATCGCTGTGAAGCTGCAGGTGAGAGGAGCAGGGTGTCCTGCCTGCCACCAGCCACCTCTCTTTTCTTTCACTCCACAGAGCCAGCTGCAACCGTGGAATGACGACTGAGCTCGTGGGACCTATGGGGTCCCAGCTCTCTCTCTTAGACCTTCAGTTTTTAACCCTCACTTTCTTTGTGTGCAGAACAGAAATGGCCCTTCCTGCTTAGCCTAACAGGCTCAGAGTAAAGTGACGTAGACACTGAATTGGTTTTTTGGGCTTTTTTTGTTTGTTTTGAGACAGAGTCTCACTATATCTCACCCTCTGTAGAGTGCCAGGGCATCACAACTCGAAGCAACCTCAAACTCTTGGGCTTAAGTGATTCTCTTGCCTTAGCCTCCCATGTGGCTGGGACTACAGGTGCCCACCACAACGCCTGGCTATTTATTTATTTATTTTTTTTTTTTTGGCTGCAGTTGTTGTTTAGCAGGCCTGGGCCAGGCGCAAACCCGCCAGCCCCAGGACATATGGCCAGCACCCTGCTCACTGAGCTACTGGCGCTGAGCCACTAAAGTGTTTTTTAAACTGCTTAGAAATTACTGGAGCATCTAGTGTTGATTTCAAGGACTTCTGGGTCCACCTGGATGCCTGGGTTGGGGAGCCCTCTGGAGGTTTTCTATCAGGTGGAAGAAACGCAGATTGTTATCTCAGTGTCAGCAATTTAAGGTTTACTGGGATGTTTTATCTTCTAGGTAAACCCTACAGGTAACTCCTAATTCAGTGTTTGTTTGTTTACTAACTTAGTATTTTTAAGGGACCCTAAATATTTCACAAGCATTTGTGTTCTAAGTATTCTTGAACTCAGGGAAAGAAGGAGGGAAAAACTAAACTAAGAAAGTGTTCAGAAATTTACCTATTGCCAGCTAATTGCGAACTCGTAGAATTGGGACCAGAAACTCAAGAGTAAGTAATGTGTGCGTTCATTAAACTCCATTACCAGACCTCTCGTAACTGCTGGGTCCTTCCTAACAACGACTCCCTAGAGTGAAGTGAGGTTCAAAAGTGCTTCTGCAGTCACAGTCACTAAATGGCGGCTGAATTCTTCAGTTTAAGAATAATATATTTGGGCGGCACCTGTGGCTCAGTGGGCAGGGCACTAGCCCATATACCAAGGGTGGCAGGTAACCCGGCCCTGGCCAAACTACAAACAAAAAAATAGCTGGGCGTTGTGGTGGATGCCTGTAGTCCCAGCTACTCGGGAGACTGAGGCAAGAGAATCGCCTAAGCCCAGGAGTTGGAGGTTGCTGTGAGCTGTGTGACACCACCGCACTCTACCAAGGATGACAAAGTAATACTCTCTCTCTACAAAAAAAAAAAGATATTTATCAAATTCTTACTCATTGGCTTGGCGCCTGTGGCTCAAGCAGCTAAGGCGCCAGCCACATACACCTAAGGTGGTGGGTTCGAATCCCCAGCCCGGGCCCGCCAAACAACAATGATGGCTGCAACCAAAAAATGACCGGGCGTTGTGGCGGGCGCCTGTGGTCCCAGCTGCTTGGGAGGCTGAGGCAGGAGACTCGCTTGAGCCCAGGAGTTGGAGGTTGCTGTGAGCATGATGCCATGGCACTCTACCCAGGGGGATAGCTTGAGGCTCCGTCTCAAAAAAAAAAAAAAAAAAAAATTCTTACTCATTGAGAAATAGCAAACTCTGTGGTACTGCCCTACTAACCAGTGTATTTTGTTACCTCAAATACCTTTTATGCTGCAGGTCATTGTAATAACATTGGCTTCACTAAAATCCACACCTGTGCTGTTTGTGGTGGCTCACCCCTATGATCCTAGCGATCTGGGAGGCTGAGTTTGGTGGATTGCTTGAGCTCAGGAGTTCAAGATCAGCCTGAGCAAGAGTAAGTCCCCTTCTCTACTGAAAATAGAAAATAGAAAAACCGTAGTCTCAGCTATTCAAGAGGCTGAGGCAGGCAGATCTTTTGAGCCCAGAAGTTTGAGATTGCAGTGAGCTATGATGATGCCACAGCATTCTACCCAGGGCAACAGAACAAGAACTCTGTCTCAAAAAATTAAATAAATAAAATCCACACCTGTGGCACTCACCTTGTGTGAGTCATACATCATGGTCCTCAGGTCTATTTCTGGGATAAATATATCTTAATTCAGTCCTCAAACTTAAAGTATTTTATTAAACCTTATGTGTCCTGTATTCAGCTTCCTATTCACTTCTTTTTTTTTTTGGAGACAGAGCCTCAAGCTGTCCCCCTGGGTAGAGTGCTGGTGGCATCAAAGCTCACAGCAACCTCCAACTTCTGGGCTCAAGCGAGTCTCCTGCCTCTGCCTCCCAAGTAACTAGGACCACAGGTACCCACCACAACGCCCGGCTATTTTTTGGTTGCAGCCGTCATTGTTGTTTGGCGGGCCCGGGCTAGATTTGAACCTACCACCTTAGGTGTATGTGGCTGGCGCCTTAGCCACTTGAGCCACAGGCACCGAGCCCTTATTCACTTCTGTGCACAATTCCTCCCAAATGTGAAACATCTCCCTAGATACTGTGGGTTAGAAAAACAAGAAACAAGTGTGGGATGGTGACATGAACTGCGAGCTGTCAGTATCTTGTCCTCTTTTCCTGATTTTGCCTCCATTTCTAGACTGTAGGTAGTGTTATCATTTTCAGGAACTGTATCCTTTGCTAAAAGGCTGTTGCTTTCTGATGTGTTAGGAAGGCTTACAGTGTGCCTTGATGCTTTATCATCTCTACACTTAAATGCTTCCACCAAAAGAAAGAATTAATTGTATTTCCAGGTTAAATATTTAACATTTATTAAGCTTTTTAATTATACTTAAAACTACAACTATTCTATTTTTGTTTTTGTTTTTGTTTTTTGAGACAGAGTCTCAAGCTGTTGCCTTGAGTAGAATGCCATGGTGCATCACAGCTCACAGCAACCTCAAACTCTTGGGCATAAGCGATTCTCTTGCCTCAGTCTCCCAAGTAGCTGGGATGACAGGTTCCCGACACAACGCCTGGTTATTTTTTGGTTGTAGTTGTCATTGCTGCTTGGCAGGCCTGGGCTGGATTCGAACCCGCCAGGTCCACTGTAGGTGGCTGGTGCCCTAGCTGCTAAGCAACAGGTGCCAGGCCTTATATTGTCTTTTTTTTCTTTT